AACAACTTGGGCGGGACCTATCGCCATTTCAATGTGGAGCGGAAATTGAGTAGAATGTGCATGAGTGCAATAGAGGAGGATATAGCTGGCAGGCTGCCGAACAAGGTGGCCCGCTTAGCTGCCTTTGTGATAGCCTATGGACACACTCAGATGTCCTGGAAGAAGTTTCCCAACATTCTAATGAGCAAAATAGTGACCATGGCTCCGCAATTCGACATCCAGGATTGTTTTGTGCTTAGTCGGGGGATGCAAATAGCCTGCGAGCTAAGATTTCGTCAGGATACACCTGCTTTGGTGGCCATGCAGCTATCTACGATGGATAGCATTCTCATTGGATGTGCGGAGCGGCATTTGGCCAATGCAGAACGAGAGCCACTAACTGCGAGTGAGCTCAGCATCATTATACGGACCCTGAGCCATAGGAAAAGTAAGTGGAACAATAGATAAAAAACAATACAGAAGAAGTCATATTTTCTATCATTCCAAAGCCCTTAAGAACACCATGGTCTATATGCAGGCCCTATCGCTGTATAAGACGCTACATTGCAAGGATCTCAGTTCGCGAGTGGTTCGTGATATGGCGTACAACTTCAATGCCTCGCATTTCTTTGTTCCCGAGCTGCTGGAGTCAATGTTTGGCTACGTTTCGGAACAGCACGAACACATCACAGGCGACACCGTGGAGAAGGTGCTGACTTGTTCCTATAACCTGGGATACACGCCCGCCTCACTGCAGACATTGGAACGGGCTGCCAGTGTGTTACTAAGGTGAGAAGGAAGCCTTTCTATCGTTCAACCAAATAAGACGAACACATTCTTTATAGAGACTTTGATCAGATGAGTGGGCTGTCGTTGGTGCAGGCCTGTCTGGCGTTGTGCTTCTACAAGACCATACCGGATGAGCTGATTAATCAAGTATTCTGCGTGAAATTCATTCAACGCATCGAGGATGAGATACAGGTCTGCTATTCGAAGGCAACCTATCCGGAAAGGGTCCTCAATCTAGTCATGCAGCTGAATCGCACTGTCTGCTTGGACTTACCGGAGGCGAATGTGCCCTGGTTTCAACAGAACTACATCGAGGCACAGATCAGCAAGAGTAAATATACATGCATATAATTTTTTTAAAGGTATTCTTTGATTAAAAGGAATAATTCATGTTAGAGTCCCCTCATCCCCGAGCCTTTGGCAGAGAAGTGAAACATTTACTGAAGAATTTACTCACAGACGACAAGTATTTCCGCTGCAATCACACCACGCCATATGGCTATCAGATCGATTTTGTGATACATTTCGATCGGGATAAGAAACCTATGCCAGCACCACCACTAGAGGTCACAATGTTGGATCGCATAACCAAGTAGGCATATATTTATATAACTAAAAATATGTGAAAACTTTATACTTGCGATCTTTTGCAGGGTAGCAATATTGCTACTGAGATTGGACTCCTTCTGTGAGAACGATCTAACTGCTTTGCGGGGTCCCGAATCGTTGAAGATTAAGCATCTCGAGATGATGGGCTACAAGGTGCTGCACATAAACGAGCACGACTGGAACTCCAAGTACATGATGGCACCGGGCGCCAAGGCAAACTATCTTAAGTGCTTGTTACAAATTACACATTAGGTTTGATTTCCACTGGGGTTTTTCATTGTATAATTGTATACTATGTATAGGTTGACATACTCTGTATGGAGAGTACTAGTAAGATAGTATTTAATAGATTATAAATACATTTAATGTATCTGAATGTTGTGTATTTCGTATACGTTTCGTGTTTCGTTTGTGATGTTTAATGATCGTTTGACTTGACACACCAATTGTAGGCATTGTTGAACATTAGCTGCCATGGGCTCTCATCCTGAGTGGCAGCCACCTCGAAGCCAGGAGGAACATACGGCCACTGGTACATGGTGCTGCAACGTTCGGGATGTGGCATCAATGCCAGATGGCGACCATCCGGTGAGCAGAGACCTGCAATGCCCTGGGGACTGCCATTGGGATTCATCGGATACAGTTCTGTGGGTGAACCAACATCATCCACATACTGCAGTGTCACCAATTGCTCTGCCTGCAGTTGGTCTACCAGCTTCTCTGAGCGGAAGGCAAAGCGTCCTTCGCCATGGGCCACCCAACAGCCCAGTACCAGATCCTGCATGTTGGCCATCATGATTGAGCGATTAGCTGGTATCTTAACGGTAGACCAGCGGCACTCAAATCGCTGTGAACGATTGTGCAGCAAGGCCACATCGGGATCTTCGCCAGCCGAGCTGCCTGCTGGACGGCCCACAAAGCCAATTAAAGTCATCAACTGACAGCCATTGCAAATGCCCAAGGAGAAGACGTCCTGTCGCTGTTTGAAGGCTTCGAACTGCGGCTGGAGCAGACGACTGTGCAGAATGTTGGCGGCCCAGCCCTTGGCAGAACCCAAAGTATCAGCATAGCTGAAACCTCCAGGAAAAATCACACCTCGATACTGAGACAAGGTGGCGGAGCCTGCATAAAATAATTAGATTTGATTATGTAGAACTACTGCAGACTGCGTTTGGGTATGTATCTCTCACCTCCTATAAGATCTGACATGGTGACATCATGTACCTCGAAGTTAGCCTTCAGCAGACAGGCCATCATTTCACGTTCACTGTTCACGCCCTCCTCCCGTATGACAGCCACGCGAATCTTCTGGGAAGAACGGGCTAGAGCCAGCTCGAAGCTCAGATTCGCGGGTCCCTTGTACTGCGGCGCGTGACGATAGTCCAGACTATCGTATTCCGCCTGGGCACAAATCGAGTTGGACTGAAGTTTTTCCAGCTCGTAGCTGGTGCATTCCCACTGTCGGTATAGCTGACGCAGAGGTTGACCCAGCAATTGATCGTCTCCCTGTTTGATTAATACTCTGGAATCGAGGCCAAATCCTTTGGTGGCACCCAGATAATAGTTGGGCACTCCAGCGTCGTTGTAGATGGAACGAACGGTCTTCAAATCCGACTCCAGGAGCTCCACTACCCAACCACATTCCTCGGCAAAGAGCAGAGCCAGCTCTGGCCGTTTAATCTTCACAGCAGCCACATCATATTTCTCAAGCTTCGACATCGGTTCGGCTATGTCCACTTCCAGACCACTCAATCCTCCAATGGCCATCTCTATGAGGCACACGAGAAGACCTCCATCACTGATATCATGACCAGCCAGGATGCGACCTTGTCCTAGCAATGATTGAGTTAAAGCAAAGGCCAGGGCCAGGACATCACTCTTCACCAGGTTCGGCGATTCCTTGCCTTGCTGTGAGTAGGCTTGTGCCAGAGCAGAGCCCCCCAGTCGGAGGCATCCCTCAATGTTGATCCACAGCAGCACTGTGTTCTTGCCCGCCGCGGGACCCTTGAGGTCGGGAGTGGCTTTTATCTTCACATCGGGACAAGGAGCGTAGGTGGATATGACCAGAGTGCCAGGAGATTTAATTGTCGCTCCGCCCACTTTGGCAGCCATGGACAAGGAGTCCTTACCGCCATCGATGGCTATGTGCAGCTCCTCAAGAATCTGGCAGAGCTCCTGGCAGGCATCGTACATTTTGGCTCCCTCGCCGGGCAACTTTGCAGCCCACATCCAGTTGCCAGAGCACTTGACGTCCGCCAGTTCGCTTATCTTCACAAATACGAGGTTACTCAGAGCCTCGGCCACACTCATTCTGGCCATGGCAGCAGGATCGAGAAGTCCCTTGAGAGGCTGTGTGCCTATGGAGGTGGCAATGCCCGAAGTGCTGAAGTGGGACACAGTGGTCAGGGCGTAGTCGGCCAGTGGGGCCTGCAGAGGACCCACACACTGCTGCTGAGCTATCAATCCGCCGACACAGCGATCCACTTTGTTGGTTAGGAAGCGTTTGCTGCCCACCGCAACCAAACTGAGTACCCTTTCCAAGGCTTCGTCCAAGCGTACATCCTTGGGAAGATCCAAATCCTGCAGTCGTGTCGCCTCCCGGGTCAAATCATATGTCCTCTTGGGCATGTCACCCAGGACGTGCTTCAGTTCCAAGTCAAATGGAGCTGGTTTGCCTCTTACGGCAGAGAGAGCCTCTTCCATATCCTTTGGAGCCTCCTCTTCCACCAATGTGACACGTCCATCGCCCGTCACCACGCCTACAAAGCTAATGGGGCAGCGTTCACGTTTGCAAATCCTTTCCAAGACCCCCCGGTGCTCTGCTTTGCAGAGGATGGCATTGTTCTCCTGGTACTCGGCACCCCAAAGCTCCAGAGCCGTAATGGTGGGATCACCCAACTGAAATTCCTTTGAGAAGATAATGGCTCCAGCGAAACCTGGCTCCACTAGCTCTTTCAGCACATTGCCGTTACCGCCGGCTCCCTGATCGTGTATGGCCAGAATGGGATTACGCTCGCCCATCTCAAGACAGGCACGCACGACGCGATTCAGCTTGTTTTCCATTTCGGCATCACCTCGCTGCACGGCATTGAAATCCAATTCGGCGTCTCCGGAGCCCTGAACCTCCACCGAGCTTGCCGCACCGCCGCCGACACCGATCCTATAGACCGGTCCTCCGATCTTGGCCAACAGTTGGCCGCGAGCTGGCGGCAGCTTCTCACGCATAGAGGCGGGCATGGTGCCCAGTCCGCCGCTGAACATGATCGGCTTCACATACTCATCCCGCTGGCTGGCATCTGCAGCATTCTTGAGGCCATAAGATAGAGCGAAGCCAGAAATCACTGGCTCCCCGAACTTGTTGCCATAGTCGGAGGCTCCATTACTGGCCTCGATGAGGATCTGGAGCGGTGACGCAAACGTAGACGGATATATAAAGGCCGAAGTCTCGTAGGGCTGCTTATAACCTGCAAAGAAAAGAAATTTCAGAACATTTTTGAAATTTTTTTAAAATTTTTAATTAACATTTATTAGCGACGGTCAATCTTGAGCCTGGTTTACAATTAATTCATGTCGATCGCTTAAAACCACATATCGATAAAACCGGATGTGTGTTGAGAAAGTAAACGTGTAAGGTTTTAATTTAAGTTCAATTACGCTTAAAATTCACAGTTTAATCTGCATTATTTGATTAAAATATATGTATATACATATATATGTATATACAGCAAATATTTTGACCAGATTATATTGTAAAATATATTCCACAAATAGTTAACCAGAGATAAGATCAACAAATCGGCAACAAATGTAAAGGTAATTGTATGTATGTACATATAAATATGTGTCTTATTTTCGTTTTGCAGATACATTCAAAAATTTGAAAATGGATCAGGACCTTTATCTACTATTGGGAGTAGGCAAAAGAGCCACAGAAGATGAGATCGCAAAGGCCTATAGGCGTATGGCACTGATATACCATCCGGACAAGAACGATCATCCCGAGTCTGTGGAGCATTTCAAGAAGATACGAGCTGCCTTCGACGTGCTGTCCAACAAGTGGACTCGAGCAGACTATGATAGACAACATAGAACAAAGCCAAAGCCTGAAAATCGGAAGCCGACACATAGCACCACTCAACAGAGCACGGCACTGAATATATTCCCTACCCTTTGTGTCATTGGTGGAGCCATTTTCGGCGCGGCTATAGCCATCTCTACCAACAAATGGTTCAACAGTGAGGAATCGGAAGGCAGCGATAAAGAATCGAAAAACGACAAATAAATCTGTTTAACTTATACCAAAACTCAAGTGAAAATATATGTCAGTATCTGCCTTCTAAAATGAATCTTGCTATATCCTTGCAATTCCAAATTCATTTACTTACCAGGAATGTGAAGCGAACCCACGCAATAGCCGGCGGTTCCAGCAATGGGAATACCTCCTCTACCCACGCCTTGTACGTCGCGCAGTCGACCGCCTGTGCCAGTGGTAGCTCCACTGAATGGCGCCACAGCCGTGGGCATGTTGTGTGTCTCTGCTGTGAAGATAAGGTCCGATTGGACGGTCGCCAGACGAACCGGTCCTGGAGATGAAACTGTGGAGGGCTGCAGGGTGTCGTGCTTGAAGCCCTGCATGGCGCTGCTGTTGTCGCTGAATTTGATTGTGTTGTTGGGATTTGTGTGCAACTGTGTGTCCATTATCATACGTATCAGGGACTTTGGCTGTTCCTCGCCGTCAATCACCATGCGACCGCGAAAGAACCAGTGCCTGGAGTGCTCGCTATTGCTCTGGGCACAGTCAAACAGCTCCACAGTGGTGGGATTCCTCTTCAGGGTCTTGCCGAAAAGATCGTGATAGTAGTCCAAATCGTAATCGGTAAAGGCCAAACCAAGCTCCTGGTTAATTTTCTGCAGAGCGGCTCGACCCTGCTCCAGGACGGGAACAAAGTGCCAGTCTGCCTGCGAAATTGGTAGCTGCTCGTCAAAGCTCTTTTTAGGAGTATTCTCCGCTGTGTACAGACAGTGTGTCATGCGATCTCCCAGCATCAACACATACTTGGACAGCTCCCTTGGCCCATCGTAGCCAAAGGTCAGCAGATAACGAGTCGAGGATTCAACGCGTTGCACCTCGGTGTAGCCGAGATTGTGGAAGATGTTCACACAGTTTGTGGAATATGGCGTGGAGAAGTTGAAACGAGGACCAATCTCCAAGAGAAGTTGCCGCTCATTATTGGCCACCTTCAAGATGGGCTGCTTGGTTAGACTCTTGCCACTGTCCATGGGCTGCTTGACCAGCCAGATTAGCAGCTCATCCAGCGTCATGGAGTGGTTCAACTCAGAAGTGTACTCCAGGTGATAGCAACGTTCCATTTGAACGGAAATCACACTGGGATCCTCCATCTGTACATGCCGAAGAACACTCAGCTGCTCGGCTTCATCGTAGGCCTTCACATCGTAGTAGCGTAGAATGACCATGTTGCAGTCCTGGAAGAGAATATGTTGGTATTGTACTACAGTCTAGAATTGATTTGGTTTATTTGATGCGTGCGTGCGCCTTGCTTTACGAATCGCGAGTGATCGTGGGCCTGAAGCCGTTGACAACCATACCAGTGCCTACGCTGGGGGTTATCAACAGCCGACACCTCCAACTCCACAGCAGCCCTGCTGCACCGCTCCCAGATCAGGTTACAGCCACCCGATCCGATTGGATCCGATGCAGCAGCAGTCGATGCACTGCCGTCACAACTTGTTTTTGCATCTCCTGCTTGGGGGCTCGCTGATAAGCCAGCGTCAACATATTTTCCATTGCAAACAGGTAAAATTCAATAAAACAAACCGTAATCGTACTGATATACATACCAGCAACAATTAACAAATCAACTAAACTAACCAAGATTAAAGCACAATAACAATAAAGTAAGCGTCGCGCGCACGTTGTGTTGTAGCTGAGAGAGAATCTAAGCGGACATGCTGGGTACTCTTGAAAACGCTTGGAATTATTCCAAATCGTGAATCAGATATTTCATGTGATGCTCAAACGCGCACCAGGTTGAGCGTGAATTAAAACTTGTTTATGGATTATATTACAACTTACAATTCTTAATCGTGGATATAGTTTTAGAAATTCCATAATGGCTGAGACCGCACCTCACCCCACTGTATATTGGCAATAGGCATTTGGCAATAGTAGAATTATTGAACTATTTGAATTAATTGAAGAGTATAAGTGAAGCCAGGTTACAAAATTACAGCTTTAGATCTGGTAAATTGGAAAAAGACGGGACGATACGTATTACTAGCTTTCATCGCCAGCAAAACAACCCAGCAACCCGTTATAAAAAATAGCCAACTGCGCAGCACTACAAAAGCCAGACGGAAAGAAAACACTTGACGAAATAAAAGCTTTCCATTGCACCATCCTCCTCCGTGGGACAGACGGTTATCAGCACGTGGGGTGGCAACAGAAACAAATCAATTAATTCGGCGCGCCTATAAGGCTGACGACGTCACAGGTTGTGGTTGGATTTCGACCTGTGCATACCTTTAAAGCAGATGCTATAAAAGAGAACAATTACGAAAAGAGCCAAAAACGTGTGGGGGGGAACCACTAATGCATCCCGCTCTCTCGGATTTTATTTATATGCCATTCAAAATCGTGGCAATTGCTACATTTAGCGGTCACTTCACTGCCGATACGCCATACATGAAATAATTAAAGCCATTTGAACTTGAAACGCATTTGTATGCAAATTGTCGCTTTTAATGTTTGCTCTTCTCCTCCCATGTTTGCTGTGGCATTTTATAAACCTTAGACTTAAATTGATTTGAATAAATAGTTTGACAGTATAGGTTTTTAGTGGATTGTTGCATTGCAGCTCCTATTCTATTCGCACGGATGTGGTAGTCTATGCCCGCCAATCTTATCAATTTCAGTTCAAGACTGATAACAATTGTGTGTTGTATAAAATATATCATGGAATTCGAAGAAACAATCGAATTGTACTAAAAAAACAGCGTATCTTGCGGTTACAATAAAATTGCTTTACTTGACAGCCCCTGCATCGAAACCTATGTTATGTGCATCGCTTTTGCCGCCTTGGATGCCTGCACGCTGATCTCATCCATGCCCTTTCTGGCACTTTCTGTGACTTCGTCAATGGAGCGCCTCGTAGTGCATATCAGCTCATCTGTTCCCCGTGCGGCTGACTCAGCAATACCTTTAACCTCAGTGTTGATCAGTCCGATCACCCATTCCAAGCCTTGGCGTCCCTTGCCAGCGTTTGAGCTAATCGTGGATGTGAGTAAGTCTTCCATGTAGTGCGATAGCGGCACGCCGTGGACAGTTACTGTGGCCTCCTGTTTCAGCAGCGTTTTGCTGGCATCTGCGGGATGTGGTTCGTAGTAAAGCACCTCGTCGACGCTAATGTTCCGGCAGAATGTGAGATTATTTGTCTTCAGCACCATCTGCCTGGTTTTTGGATCCACCGTCGAGCGTTCGCTGGCAAAGCACGACTTTGCGGTGCCTATCAGCGCGTGCGTCCACTTCGGGAAATACCATTTGGATTGAACGAGGCGATGTGTGTGCAGAACGCCGTCGATGACTTGGCGCTCGACTACGTCAGTCCCAATTATTGAGGGCGTCATGGGATTGGGATATTTCCGCCATGCCGCCTGTGTAACCGTCTCCCATGGGTGGTTGAATATGTGTTCCGACGTCCAGATTTTCATTATGCAAGCCTTGTTGTCGTCACAGTTCGCTGTCGGGGTTTGACTCTCTTTTGTTTATTCGCAACCGAGCACTAGGCTTGTTTGCAGCCTGCAGGGGCAGTGACGTAAATCAATTTTTAAACAGACAAAAGTGTTATGTATTTGGAAAACGAAATTTTGACATAAAATGCTGTAATTATCGAATATTACGGGAGTGGGGGGTCTCTAACCTCTGTTGTGCGATGAGAAGTGATGGGAATTTTCCGATGATTGGAAGTTATCGAAGCTATTGATGAGACAAGAAAGCTTTAGATGGTCACACTCTTTAGTGATGGATTGCATACGATAAAGCCGATTATTGATAATTTTCATGCATCAGATGGAGCGGAAAGACAGTGCGCTCCATTAGATGCATGGCTGTTTTATTACACTTTAATGCAATTGTTGAGATATTCTTTGAACATGTACAGGCTTATGACTATCCTTACGCTATCGCACGAAATGGTATTCACTCTGGACCGAAAGTCTTGGTGTATTTTTCGTACGGACGCTTGTCGACTAGTAGAAGACGATTTTCCAGGTACGAGCGGAAATTTTGTATTTCAATCGCATCCTCCTGGATCATTTTCGTCTCATCCTGGAAGCACTCTAGCAGCAACGTCTCGTTGTTGGCAGCATTGCGCTTGGTGATCGACTTGGCCAGACGCGAACGGATTTGGTTACAAATTTTGTCACTTTCGTAGTCCATGATCTTGGCCAGGGCTCGAGCCGGCGTGCGTCGATTATTGAGAGGCATCGGAGCACTTTCAGCAGAAAGACCCTTGCTTGTGGAGGCAGCTGGCTCCTTTTTTTTGGCTTTAGTAGATTTCCCATTTACCCTAGGTTCATCGGAGTAAATTAATTCTTCCAACGAAGGCTCGTTGGGATTGGTGTCTGCCAGGGCCGTATTCGTTTGAAAATTGGTCAGATGAAACGTCCCATTGGTGTCGTAGAACTTGTAGCCCAGCATTTCCAATGCTATTTCGGTGAGCAAGTACGACATCCTTTAATTGTGTTTATTTTTTGTTTCCTTTGCCGATGTGACGTCGATTGACAATAATAGTAAGTTGATAAATGACCGATAGTAGGATGTGGCCACACTGCCCAACAGCTGTTCTTCAATAGCGTCAATTACCTGCACATCACAATAATAAAGAAATCGAAAAAGAACCGACGAAAACTATCTGGGTGAACTCTATTTATAATTCGAATGTAGTTTCTACTCCATCCGAGGCCAGCATGAAGATAAACGAGAAGAATTTGTCCGTGTTTGCGAGAACGCCGCCATACGATATCGAAGGTAGTAGTGGTTTTTTATTGTTTGTTCTGTTACTAATCACCAAAAATCTCCTTCGTAGGGTTCTTGAATAAGCGGGGCGAGGTCAACAAAGCGTTTCAACGGCGGTACTTTGTGCTGAAGGGCAATTTGCTGTTTTATTTCGAAGCTCGGACGGATAAGGAGCCTCTGGGCCTTATTATCGTAGAGGGATGCACCATAGAACTGTCCAATGAAGTGGACAACTACTGCTTCGAGATAGCCTTCAATGGCAATCGCACCTACATCCTCGCAGCCGAAGATCAGGAGAGCATGGAGACATGG